CCTGCTGAAATTCATGGCATATGTGGTATTCACAAACCGCCTCGTTTCTTTATTATTTAATATTTTTTTTCCCTTTATCTGTCAATCCCTTTGCTTTCCAGCTGTTTTTTCTCCAAGCAGTGGAGCAATATTGCAAATAAGATCATTTTAAGGTCATTATCTCTTCAGAAAGGTTTTTGCTTTCAAATGAAAAGAAGAAAAAAAAAACCAAGAACAAGATAAATGTTTATGAGAAAGAAAAAAAAAAAAAAAGAGTAAAAAAAAAGTAGGAGTCCCTGAGCCTGGAGCAGCCAGAGGAAGCCTGGTTTCTCATGGAGCTGTTAAACCCTGCACAATTCTCTGCCTCTGGTTTATTCTGTAACTTCCCAGGAGTTGTTGTGTCAGCAAATTCAGCACAGGTCCCTCCTGGGCCGGGATGTCCCTCATGCCCATGAACTCTGCAGCTTCAGGGTGGTAAGAGGAGACAGGGATTCTATGGGAAGGGCAGGGACCCCATGGGAAGAACAAAAACCCTCCTAGGAAGGGCAGAGATCCCACAAAAAAGTCAGGGACCTCTTGGGAAGAACAAGGGCAGCGCATGGGGTCCTGCCTGGGCTGGGTGCCCCCAGCCCCACAGTGTTGTGATCAGATTTGTTTTGATGATCAATATGTGCCAAGAGGAGAGAAACACACAGTGATGCTGCCATAGACCCCTTGTGCTTTGAATCCCTCTGTTTCAGCCACGTGTCTCAGACAGTTCCATACACATCTTGCTCAATCAAACTACCTTTTTTTTAACCTGTTTTTCGCTGCAGAGTCTCCTGGTGTGGCCAGAGGTAGGTTTGCTCTCAGCACTGGTGAGGAGAGATTAGGTTTTTGCTTCCAAACAGCCCCAGGATGAGCTGGGCTCCTGCTTTCTAAGAAATGGCTGAATTCATCATATCCTCAAATATGGGTTAGTGGCTAATTCCCAGCCCTGGTGCAGGGACATTTGGTATCCATTCTTGGCCAGGTGGTGCTGGGCTTCCCTCAGCCATCCTGGATGGTCCCTGGCATCATCCCACTCACATTGTGCTGAGCCCATGCCAACACCTACTTCCAGGAGAACACTGAGAGTGACATAGTCATGGACACAAGGGGTTAACTTGAATTGCAGGGCTGCTGCTTTTGTACCTGAGAGCACCAGGGTGAAGTCTCAGCAGGGCAAGATGTCCCCATGCCCACCCCAGCCCACCACTTCTTTACATTTATCTTTATCTTGGGAGAGTCCCCACCTCCTTGCAATGGGGAAGCAGGAGAGAGACACCCTTAAAAATAAAACTGAGTTGGCTGAACAACAGCTTTACAGCCTGGGGTATGGGGTTTTGCTCTGTGGAGGTTCTCTGATGTCTGATCAAGGTTGAGTCCACTCTGGAGTCTCTGAAGCACAGTTTTTCTGCACCAGCCAACCACCACTAGGATGGTCAGAACTAGTAACGTTGCTGACACTTCTCAGTGTCCACCCAACTTGGCCCAAACTGATTGATGTGTGAAGGGCTTGTTAGGGGGAATGGATGAACAGGATGGCACAAATATCCCCTTTCCTGGGGGAAGGAGGCTGCAAGTGAGGGTGTATGGGCTGCTGGGTCACTAGAAATCCCTCCCTGCATACCTGCAGTGGTGAGGCACAGTATTCTGTCCATGCTGGTGCACCCCAACCCCAGGGAAACCCATGGAACTGTTCAGGGCTTAGTGCTTCTCTTTCCCATGGCAGCACCCCTCTCAGCAGCAAAAATTCAGGAGGAGATGGGCAAATGTGTCTACCACACAGATAAATGGCCAGGTTTCCAGTCAGAAAGACAGTGGCTGCTGGGCTGAAAGCACAGCTCCATCCCTCCCAGTGCCCTGGAACAGGATTGTACTTCGGGTGGAGAAGCAAATACAGCTGTGTTTATTCCCCACCCGTGGGATCTTCTGCAGAGAAGAACACCAGTCACCAAACTGCTAGGCATGGGTGTCCTCCCTCAAAGTGCCACCCACACCCCGATGGCCACAGCCCAGGCAGAGCTCAAGCTGTTGGCCTCTTGTGGGGGGTGTGTGTTAATGAAGGAGCTAGAAGAGAAGACAAGTGTGCTGGTTTTGGCCTTATTTTTGTGCTAGAAAGCCACAGGTGCTGTTTGCAGTCAGGATGCCTCTGAATCTCTCCTGCCCTATGCACCAAGCAGTTTTACCAAAACCAAGGTACTTTCCAACACAGAGGAAAACCCTTGTGCTACCCAGGATGGGAATTAAATCACGACTCTATTTGCACTGGTCCCCAGGGCATTGCCGTGCTTCTCCTGAGCTGTCCATGGGTGGCTGTGTAGCTCCATGCCCTCAGTGATGCTCCCAACACTCCCTTCAGCCCCTTCTCAGCTCACTCATGCTCTACTCTCTCTGCCAGGCAAGACCAGGACGAAAGACAAGTACCGGGTGGTGTACACAGACCACCAGCGCCTGGAGCTGGAGAAGGAGTTTCACTACAGCCGCTACATCACCATCCGCCGCAAGGCCGAGCTGGCTGGTGCCCTCGGGCTCACTGAAAGGCAGGTCAGTGCTGCAGTTCCCCAGGAAAACCATGTCCTGGATGGAGATGGGGCTGGGGAGCTGTTGGGCTGCAGGCCGAGAAGGCAATGGTTGTCCCACCTTGCTCCACAGAGCTCCCTTCTCTTCCAAACTCAGAGACGCCTGGGGGTTGTCATCTTTGGCTGCATCCATCCCCATCTCTCCATCACCACTTTATCTTTCTGCAGGTGAAAATCTGGTTTCAAAATCGGAGGGCAAAGGAGAGGAAGGTGAACAAGAAGAAGATGCAGCAGCAGAGCCAGCCCACCAGCACCACCACTCCCACCCCACCAGCCGTCGGCACGCCGGGACCCATTGGAGGCCTCTGCACCAGCAGTGCCCCCAACCTCGTCTCCTCATCTCCGCTGACAATCAAGGAGGAATTCATGCCTTAAACCCCTCACCAGCTACAGACACCAAGAGATAAGCACTATGCAGCAGAGCCCAGCTGGTCCTCGTGCTCTGAAGCGTCACAGCCCCTTCCCAAAGACATGATCGTCCTCGGATGAACCAACGGGGTGGCCAGCAGGGCTGGATGAGGTGGCACTGGGACCTTCCCAAGGGGCTGGTGGGCTTGCTCCTACATAAAAACCATAGGTTAGGTAGTATTGCTGTCCTGTAGGAAATACTCTGGTCTGGTCTCTAGTATTTGTAGCCCAAAGCAAGAGCCTAATGTCAGCAGAAGGAAAGGGGGGGGTGGTCGACGATGCTTTTACCATGGTGCTTCAAGTGGAGCTGGTAGGACACTTCCTTTATGGTCCTCCTGGCAATCCAGCTGCCTTTTGGGGCAGTTTGAACAGAACTGAACCAGAAAAAAAGACCTGGTTGGACTCAAAGCAAAAAGAAAATTCCACTGAGCTGGTCTCCTGGATCTGACATGCTGGGAAGAAAGGTGCCAGAGGCAGAGCAAGCTGCACAGTGGGAGCCGGGCAGGACTCTTGGCCATGGGACCCAAGGGGGGACTTCTTCAAACCACAGTGATGGTGGCAAGCTGGAGCACGACCTTGGCAAGAGTCACCACATTTCCCCACCCATGTCTCCCACTCACCTGGTAGCACCTGCTCCTGAGCCCCCAGCTCTGCCCCTGCAGCCACCAGGAGCCACACAGAGACACATGGGGTGCTGCTCCGAGGGAGTGCAGCTGCCGCGGGCACCAGAGCTGCTGCCAGGGTGGGCAGAGGCTGTGTTAGGCAGAGGAAGGCTGACATGCCCTGACTTTAGGAAAGAGAGAGGTCGTCTTCAGAAAGACAGAGAAATAGTTTTTTCTTATTTTCTTCAAAACCCAAAGGACTCCAGGTTTGTTCCCCCTGTCTCCCCCCTCCTCTGTGCGCTGCATCACCTCTCACTCGCTGTGTGCCCTAGGCCAGTAACTAATACCCCTCTTTACCACAGCTGAAATGTCCCTTCATCCTGCTGGGCCCTGACCAGTGCATTGCCCCAGGTTAACTTACAGCCCAGCTTCAGCTGCTCCAAAGACCAGTAGGGCTCAGCTGGGACACAAGAGGGTCTATGGCTCCTGCTTGGGTGCTCCTGGGCTGCAGCTTTCCAACACCAAGATAGGGATGAAGGAGTCCAAGCCTTGCTTGGCCTTTCCCAGCACTGTCTCTCCAAGCTCCAGGAGGGTGGAGCAGCAGGCATGTTCCCTGCTGCCTGCAGAGCACCCAACCGAGCCCCCACATGGCACCCAGCATCTCATCCCTTGGCCGCCCTGCCCACTGCCAGCCTCCCACTGCTCCCAGCCCCTCCTGGCCCAGGAAACAAGGTGTCCAGGCACACTGTGGCTTTTACAGGATGGTCCCTGCCGTCTCACTGCACCCACCACCCTGCTCCAGCCCTCACAGGGTTTGGGTCTCCCTCCCATGGGGACCACTGACACCTTCCTCAGCCACCACTGCCAGCTGAGCTGGGTGGCGAGGATGAGTGTTTGCCTTGGCTGGGGACTTTGGCTCAGGTTTTGTGTATATAAGGCAGAACTGGTTTTTCCTTTCTATTTTTTAGGCATTGGTGAAAATAAAAAATGAGCAGGAATCCCAGGTTTGTTGCTCTCTCCTCCCAGCCCATGGTGCTGTGGCAGGGGACAGATGCCAGCTCCAAGGTCACAGCAGTGCTGATGCCCCCAGGCTCAGCCTGGGTTGTGAGGAGCTAATTATGGAAAAGAGTCCAGAGGGATGTCTCGAGGCAGCAGCCTTGTTCCTCTAGGGTGTGCCCATCCCTCAGGGTCATTGCTGGCAGTGACACGGTCACATCCCATCCCTTTTCCACCACGGGTGCTGGCTGTGCCAGGCGACATGGAGGCTGCAAACCCACAGCCCTGGGGGCAGCCGGGGAAAGGGTGAGGCTGAGTTTGGGCTGGCAGAGGCCAAAGAACAAGGCCAGTTGCCCACAGACGTGGCCACCTCCCATTGGCGACTCCCGGCCTCTAATCTCGTTTTATGGCTGTTGACGGGCTGAATATCCTCCTTGTCCAAGAAGAGCAAACAGAGAATGAGGATGTGAGATAGTGCCTGGGACAGCTGGCATGGGTGCCCAACACTGTCTCCATCCCAGCCACGTCCCTCTCATCCTGCAGGGCACTGAGCAAGGGGCTGCCCTCAGACTCCTGCCCAAAATGGCTCCTCCGGCCCCAAAATGGCTCCCCCAGACCCAAAACGGCTCCTCCAGACCCAAAACGGCTCCTCCAGACCCAAAACGGCTCCTCCAGCTCCACTGTTGCCTGGGAAGAGGTGGAGACATGTGCCAAGGTGCCCAGGAAGGGCAGGTGGCTGTGGAGGGACACCTGATGCAGGATAAAGTCCTTGTGGGTGGAGGAGATGGAGGAACTAGGACAGGATGAGGTGGCATTGCAGAGAGGGATAGAGCAAAGGGATTTTTCCTGATCTTGCAACAGCAGCTGCACCTACTGTTGCACTGTGGTGACCCTGTGCTCCCTGGCATGGTGCCTGGGCTGCCCCGAGGTGTGAGACCACCATCTCCTGCACCTCTGCAAGGGGATGGGGGTACCAGGAGCTAAAACAGGCTGGGGGAAGCAAGAGCAACAGAGCTGGTGCAATATGGGAAAAGAAACTGGATGGCCCACCTGCCCAAAGAGCGTGGCTGGACAGGGGAAGCTGGGGTCCACTTCTGCAAGGAGACTCCAGCATGGGCCCCCTGGAGGGGCTGGCTTCTCCACATGCAGCCTCCTCCCTCGCTGGGCTTCACCTGCCTGTGACATCCCATTTTGTCATTGCCACGTGGGGACTGGCCAAGGGGGTCCTGCCCTGGCAGGGAATGGGGCAGTGGCAGTCCAGCCCTGGGCATCACCATTGCCTGCAAGGTCTTGCTCAAGAGGGAAGCTTGAAGGGGAACAGAGTCCTGGGAGGGGACGAAATGCCCATCTCCCAAATTCATCTGCTGTGTTGGGTGGGTGAGGGGCTGGGCTGAAGGGAAGATGCTCCACCGCCCTCCCGGGGAGGCCGCGGGTGCCGTTGACAGGATGAAATTCCAACTGATACCCTAATCTGGCGCCTGCCTGTTTGCACAGCTGGGTAAAAGTCCAGCGAGCTGTGGGCTGTGCCCTTGGGTCCCTGCCTCCCTGTGTGCACAGGGAGCCAGCGCTGGCGGGAAGAGGCAATAAATGCACCCACACGCCCAGCCACCCCTTCCCCCAACACACACACACGCCCCTTGGCCGGGTGACGAAATGCATCTGCTGCCTCCCCGCTCCCGTGTCCTCCCCTGACTCCCTCCAGCCATCATTTGGGTGAGCCCCGTGGGGTCCCTCCTGTGCCAGGAAAGGGGCTGTTGGAATCCATGTCCCCACCAGCTTTGCGAACTTTGGGCCAAACCCCTTGGGGCACATGTCACCTTGACAGTTGCACCCCCGGCAGGTGGCAGGTGCCCGGTTTTAGCACCTGCAGCAGCTGCTTCCCGAGCCACACGGTCCCACATGCAGCCTGGTCCTCACGGGGACAGCCCGGCAGGCAAGGGACCCTGGGGACTGTTCCCATCAAGCCCCCGCTCTTGCTTCCTGCTTCCATCCCCTGCGCTTCCCACTGGCTCCCCCCCACCCATCTGCACCCTTCCTCAGAGAAATCTTGAAATAATCTCCGCCAAAACCAGGCTCCACACAGCAGGTGGCCCAGAACGCGCGGGCCCAGCAGCCCCCGGCGTGGCGCGGTGCCCGGCGCTGAGCAACGAGCGCCAGCGCCTTCCTCGTGTCTCGCACAGCCCATCTGGCCACCCTCCCGTCTGCCTCTCAGCCACCTCCTCCCCTCTTCCTGGCCAGAACACGGGTGGGCTGCCCAAGCGGGGTGTTTCCCCAGTGTCTGTGCTGCCGTCTCTGCTCCCAGTGCTGGCAGGGAGCGTGGGCTGTGCCGGTGCCGCCGGGCACTGCGCTGGGATGGAGGGGCACGTGTTGGCTGCCCTGCAGCCCTGCCACCCTGCTGCAGCCCGTGGGAAGGGAAGGGGTTTCTCCAGGCACCAGGGGTGTCTCTGTGGTGGGGCAGGAGGAGGCAAAGCTGACTAGAAAACTCCTGCAAGCCTCATGTGTGCTCCTTGGTGCCCTGGGGACAGCTGATGGGGACAGGTGGGCCAACACCTCTGCCTGAGCTCTCCTGTGGTTTCTGAGATCCCTGGGCTGCACTGCTCCTCATGGAACACCTTTCTGCCTCCTATTGTGGGTGCTGTTCCATGAAATGGGCCTCTTGCAGGCTCCATGGCAATGCCAGACTCAAGCCAGCTCTGCAGTGAGATGCTGGAGCGCTCCAGATGCCCAGGTGGGATGTCTGCTCCCAAGAGTTGGAGAACCAATAGTGATCCCAGAGCAGCACCAGCAAAAACAGCAAAGGGAGCCCCAGACACAGAGCATCTTACTGGCAGAGGTATCAATACAGACATTTCAAGGTACTATAAACTGTGGATGTTTCCACTGATAAATACTGCTCTCTCTGGAGACAAAAAGAACAGGGGCTTGAAGTTGACCCAGAGAGTCCTGGATGGTTTGTACAGCACTTAGTCTGTGCTGGCAACACAGAGCTGGGGCAGCTGTAAGAAGGTGACACCAGCCTCTCCTCCTCCCATGCTGTGGTGGTGGCCCTGGGACACTTCTCTTTAGGTGAATCCCAAGGGAAAAGGCCAAAGGGGTGATTCAGATCACACAGGCATGGAAGGCAAACAAATCATCCATGCCCTGAGCAGGAAGGGTGAGGTTGGGACAGTACCCAGCACAGCCACCTGCCCCAGGCTCACCATTCCCCACCAGCTTCATCCAAGGCAGGTAACACCTTGATATGTGAATTTCCAAAGATTTTTTTTTTTTTTTTGAAGCTGTAAATGTGTGGGGAAAAAAAAATAATAAAAATTGTTGGGCTATATAGTTTGCTCCTTCCTCCTTTCCCACTGGGAAACCTGGGTAAATGTTAGCTCTGAAATATCCGCTATACAAACACAGAGCCACTTCATCGTGTTGGGTTCTGCAGAAATGTGTCTTTATCCTCAGGATCTGTTTTCTTTTGGGGAAAAAAATCAGAAGTGCTTGGAGGGCTGTAGGAGCACAACTGCCATGAGGTGTCAGGAAGATTTGCTCTCACATCAGGCAAGCTGGGTCCTCTCAGTCCCAGCCCTGTCGTTGTCCTCCATGTCCCTGGTGCTGTCTGCTCAGCCTTAATCCTGAGCAAAGCAGCTGGGGACAGGTGTGGGGCAGGTTGGAGCACAGCTGGACGTTTAAAGAAGGGAGAAACACCTGCTGATGGACTGGGCAC